TTTTTCTACACTAATTTAAGATCGGATACTTTGTCGAGATAAATGATTAAGTTACTATAATTGTTGAGTATTGTTATTATAAAGCAATGTGATGCTTCTATAGTATTTTCAAACTACGAAACGTTTTCGAAAAATTATATTTTATAAATGTAATAAGAAGCAAAATATTTAGTAATTATATAATTATTATGCATAAAGTTAGAAAAAAATAAGATTACGCAGGGGTGATCTGTATGATATAAAATATTTTGGCGTAAATATCACTTCAAAAACCGTTACAATTTTTACAAAAGATGAACAAACATCATTATCTATCAGTCCAATTCTATTTATTGTAACACGATATGTAGCCCCTTAGTAAAACAATAAATATTCAGTTGAGATAATATTTGACATTTGTTTATCCTATAGAATCACTTGAAGATATAGCTGTTTATGCGATTATGAATTTAAAGATAAATTTGTTCCGAAAATTTAAACTTTAGGGTATTATGAATTAAATAGCGCTTATGTAAAAACACCAAAATACGGGTATTTTTGGGTAAATACCGCCGAAAAAGGGGCGGTTTACCGGTATTCGGTATACCGGTATTGCATTCCTTAGTCTGAAAGATGCTTAGATATTATTGGATTGTTATTTGACGTTGTGCGTTTTGTAGGTTAGGTTTTATGTGTGCAAACACTTAGCTTTTGGACAGTTGTTACTACCAATTCATGCGAAGATAGGATCGTATCATAGCTTTGCCATAACATTTCTATTTATCGGAGAATTGACTTCTAAATTTTTCGTTAATAGAATTTTTGTTTGTTCGTCAGTAGAGTCCTTTTAGAATTTGCTAGCTCGATAATTATTCGATTATTAACTTCCGAAGAAGTTTGTTTTCATCAAAAAATCCGATTCGCTAATTTTATGTTTTCTCGACGTTTCATGTCCTTCTGAATCGAATGAGACCAAATTTGGAAAATATGTGTGTGGTATGTGAACAGATTTTTTGCCGTAAATCGACATTTTCTCGAAAACGGCTGGGCCGATTTCAAAAATTAAAAGCCATTCGATGTATCTCGATGAGGATTAGTGTTTCTGAGTTTGTGCGACGATCGTCCAAGCCGTTTTTTTATAAATAGCAGAAAATTGAAAAATTCTTCGTCCACGTTTTAGCTTGAAATTCTGAATCGATTTTGAAAATTCAAAAATCGTTCGAAAAATGTTGGTGGGAATCGACCTGATTAAGTTTTTGGTAGAGATCGGCCGGGCCGTTTTTTTGTAATAAGCAAAAAATTTGTTTCGTCGATTTATTATTTTTTTGACGGTAGATACCATAGTCTTCCAGATCATACTAAAATTTACGGCCCTACGACAACTCGTTTAGCTTTAAAAATTCGCCAAAGTTTGCAAAAATTAGTATGTATTTTTGGCATTTGTCAAAATAGAACATTCATCGACGTTTGCTCCAAAACGCCTGAACCGATTTCAGAAATTTAAAAGCCATTTGATGTATCTCGATGAGGATTATCGTCGCTTCTAGTTTTATGCAACGATCGGCCGAGCCGTTTCTTTGTAAATTGGAAAAAATTGTTAAACTTTTCGTCCACATCTAAGCTCATACTGCCGAAACGATTTTAAAAAAATCAAAAACTGTTCGAAAGATATTAGTTGGGAATGATACTGATTAGTTTTAGGTGAAAATCTACCGAGCAGTTTTCTTGTAATTAACTGTTGAAAAAAAAATTAAGCAGATTTTTATGGAACTTTTTTTAACTTGGTCTTATAGACTTACTGAAAAATGATGGCTTTACGACAAGTCGTTTAATTTTAAAAATTCATCAAAGTTTGAGAAAATGAGTAGTTTTTTAACGTTTGTTAAAATTAAAATTAGATGATTTAACTGGTATAGCGATAGATTACTTGGTCTTAATGAACATACTGAACCATTAAGTCCTACGGAATATGGTTCAATTATAAAAAATATTGATTTGTGAAAATTTGCTTTTAGAAAATACTCCGAGTTAACGTCTTCGTTCGTTTTCATTATAATGAAATTAATAACAATAAATGAGTGAATTATAAACATATTAAAAATGTTAAAAACTAAAAAGTTCTAAGAAAAGGTTATTGAAAACAGAATTAATTACCTGTATGATTGATTATACACTAATACTTTTTCACTAAAAAGATTTTATCAAAAGTGATTTTATAAATTTTTTTCAAGCGAAGAAACACATTTTGTAATTCAAAATTTCTTTAAATTTGTTATATGTAATATCGTGGCGTTTATTTGTTCTTATGGCCTCAGTGTATAATTTTAATGATACACTAAAAAATGTAAAATTAGTCTGTAAATTTCCAAGAATTATCATCATAACCATGTTATATATATGAATATGTATACATATATATATCTATATATATATATATATTATATATATTATTTGATATAAAAAACGCGAGCATATTATTTCTGGAATTATTCCAAACATTAAAATAATAAACTGACATATGGACATGCATGAAAGACGTCTTTGAAATTTACTTATTAAATTTTATAGGTGAAAATATTGAAATTATATATATTATAGATATATATATATATATAAACTTTACCAAAGCATGGCAGTACTGATTTTTGAATAAAAAATAATATTTTCGAAAAATGTAAAGAATTTTCAATAAATTTCTTTTCATTAATGAAATATCAACTTACAAAAAAAATCAAAAGATCTTTTCGAGTCTGGGAGTAAATGCGTCTTTGCATGGTTATGGAATTAATTTGTAAATGCCTCAAAATATTATAGGCTTATGTTTTTTACTTAGAGAATGAATAAAAACGAGAAAAAGTCTAGAAAATACCAATTAGGCTCTTAACAGAACGGAGAATTATTCACATTTTTGGGAAGGCAGGTCCAGAGTTTGGAAGTTGCAGCAAATGAAAAAATCAGAATAATTACCATTTGGGTGGTTAATTGACCATTACAAATCAGTATTTAGTAGACAAATAGATAGGTAGATCATGTTCCAAACAAAGTATATTAATAAGTTTCACAATGTACCCGTATCGGGGAGTTTATGTAACTTGCTCAAGGCAAAATGCCATTTACACCTAATTTATTTTTATTTTGTTTATTAGAGGTCGGTGCTACTGCAGTCGTCCATGCTGCGCTTTGTAAACCAAGAAACGAAAATGTGCCATCAAACGAATCAATTTGGAAAAATGGAACACGAGTATGGATGAACTTTAAAAAGAAATACAGTACAGAAAATACTAAACTATATGTGTATATATATATATATATATATATATATATATATATGCCTATTTACAGGGCCGGTCCTGGGGTCCTTAGCGCCCGCATGCAACTTTTTTTCTAGCGCCCCCCCCCCCCTATTAATTTTCACCGTTTTAAAACAGTTTATCATTAAATTATATAAATTAATTTTTTAATTATTCTGGATTTAGTACACAAAAATTAGATATAATCTAGAAGGGTATAAAATATATTAATTTTAAATTTATTTATTATTATCGATATCAATAAATAAAACAATCCCTGTTATAATTTCACATTTTAGTAATATTCAATATGTAGTAAATTTGTTAAGGATGTAAGTTCGACTACCATAGCAAAAGAATTAATATTTTTGTTAGATTAAAGTTATAGAATTTAAGAAATGCATTTCAGAAATAGTATTTATTATTTTGATAAAAAGATCTTGATATCAAAATAATAATTACTATATCTGAAATGCATTTCTTAAATTCTATAACTTCAATTTAACAAAAATATTAAGTGAAATAAATAAATTAATTTTTAATTATTCTGGATTTAGTGCACAAAAATTAGATATAATCTAAAAGCGTATAAAATATATTGATTTTATATTTATTTAGAAAATCGAGGCGATTCGGGGGTTGATTATAATCAAGTATTTAACGTATGTGCAATATTAATATTTAAAAAACTAGCATTTCAATTTCAAACATAACACTCGTATTTCATGTTGGGTTTTTTAAATTTTAATTTAATTTAATTTTTCATCATTTACAATATCCAAAATTGCGTCGTAAACTTCTCCTTATTGATATCGTTAGAGCCATCATATTCAGAGTATCAGCTTGTTGTTTTAAACTTAAATTTTTAACGTATTTTAGAATATTTGTATTGTCTAAAAATCAGTAAAAATGCAAATAAATTACACTTTTTTAAACTATATTAAAAAAAACTTATTATATTCGATATGTATTATTTCTGCATAGTAAATAATTATTAAATTTAGAGTATGGTCACCACTAGGTATAAAAAAGCCTTAAGATTTTCGTTTCAAAGTAAATTTTGCTTCCATTTTTCATATTTGTTCCACGCATGTCTTCAATATTCAAAGTTCAACAAATGCGAAATATTTGCAACAAAAGCAAAAGTTACAATTCAATTTCTCGGAATAAACAAGTCATTTTCTAAGCACTGACTCCCCATTTTTATAATCTGTTTATATTTTTTAACAAGTTCCGATTCAAGTAAATTAGCTCGCAATTATTCGTCAATAATGCTCAACAATTAATTTAATCTTTCGCAGGTTTGCGCTTATGGGATTGAACACTAGATAATTTCTTTTTCGATTTCACGGTAACTTCAAACAAAGAAAAAATTGAATAAGTAGATTAAGCAATAAACAAAGCTATTATTTACTAAATTTCAGAATTATTAATCGGTTAATTGTTTCTACTGATATCACATTGCAAAATAAATATGATTTTTGTGTCTCCGTATCCCTAGTTAAGTTAAATTATTTATTATAATTTATTAAGTGTTATAAGATTTTAATAAATAATTCTAGATTTTATATAAAAAAATATAAATATTATATTATAAATTTAATTTCCGAAACTCGTTTTGGCGCCCCCTAAGGCTTGCGCCCGCATTTTTTGCATGCATTGCATGCAAGGCAGGACCGGCCCTGCCTAATTATATATTTATTTAATTATTACCTCGATCCTTTATTCAAGGCGATGAGTTCCTGCAACCACGAGAATGTGGTAACATATCACACGAGTTTTGTTGTCCGAGAAGAATTATGGCTGGTCTTGAGACTTCTCGAAGGTGGCAGCTTACTCGATATTATAAAACATAAGGCTAGAGTCTCAAATTGTAAACATGGTGTATTTGATGAGGCCACGATAGCAACCGTATTGAAAGAGGTAATAATAATAATAAAAGGTTATGTTTTGTTGATTATATTAGTTTGTCAAATATCTCCCTTCCGCCTTTTTGTATTATAAACCAAGAGCAAAAAAGCGGAAGGGAGATATTTGACAACCTAATATATCATTGGTTGTGATTAAGGTTTATACAAAAACCGACATTTCAGAAAACCGGTTTTCGAATTTTAATTTTACTAAAAAACCGGTTTTAACCGGTTTTCGAATTTTATATAGAAAATACATTTTTGCTCGAATATTCTGTAATTTATCCGCAAATTTAGTGTGATTTAGAGCAGTATTTGACTGAATTTATTTATTGTTAAATTTTATAGATAGTAAACAAAATTATTCTAATTTTAATTAATAGAACTGAAAAATAATAGTTTATCTTGATTAAATAACTTTGAAAATAATTATTCGTTATCCACGCATCATTTTCACATATAAGAATGAAAATATTTTGATGATAGTGAAAGGAAAGTTTTCGAATAAATATAAATAATACATTTTTAAATAAAATAAAAAAATATATACATGTTGATAACACATACTTGTTAATATCAATTTTAGTTCTAAAAACAATTAAGCTAAATTTATTTTGCTAAGTTTATTTCTGTACCGAGCAATTTTAATTAATTAATTTTAAACATTCTAATTGTTTTTTATTTAATAAAATATGATTTCAAAAAACTGAGAACGTCTATCGAATTGCTACTTAAACGTGTCCTTTGTTTACTCACAAAATTTCCTGAAATAGAAAATACTCTCATACTTGCGACTAAATTATGCTTAATTGTTTTTAAGGGAGTCTTCCTATGTGACGGCCTGATTTTTAGGGATATTTTAGGAGTTTTTTTTTACGACCAGTAAGTATTTAGAGCTTCAAGTTTTTTATCATTTATTAACACATATTTGGACAGTATAAATATAAAATTTCAGCTAAAAATATTCAGTCAAACTAGAGTTACAGCGCTCTGAATACCCCCGCCTCGAAAAAAAGAGCTCACACACTTCCTCCACGATTCCTAAATTTCAAGTAATCATTCGTTTTCAGCATCGTTTCGAGAAACATTTCTGAGACAATGGAGGAAAGTTTGAAAAAACACAGTTTTGAGAAAAACGCGTTAAATTTTCAAGTCTTCGAACCGCTCTCTTTTCTTTTACCTGCTGTATCTTTAAAACGACTTCGAATTTTCTAAATCGCTTTACACTACCTTATTCTAGACATGTTAAGGGAGCAATTTATGAAAAAAATCGATTTTTGACAAACATCAAAAAAATATTAGATACATTTTGATATATACTTGTTAATATCAATTTTAGTTTTAAAAACACTTAAGCTAAAATCGGGTATTGTCTGCTCCGAGTAATTTGAGCTCATTAATTTTCTAATTGTTTGTTTGTTTAATAAAATATGATTTCAAAAAACTGAGAACGTCTATCGAATTTCTACATAGACGTGTCCTTTGTTTACGCACAAAATTTCCTGAAATAGAATATACTCTCATACTTGCGACCAAATTATGCTTAAATGTTTTTAAAGCCTGATATAATAATTCCAAGTTTTTGTTCTTTAATTTGTGGCTTCTAGGGTTTGAAACTCTTTTTTTTAAGTTTGAGTAGAGGAAGTTACTTCTTCAAGAAGAAGTCACACTGATTTAAATTAATATATACACTACTGGTATAAAAATCTAAATTAATATATGCAATACCTTTCTGGGGAACCATTGCAGGCTGATAAGATATCAAATGCTATTGAACCGATATGATTTCAAGAATCAAAACGCTTTCATCTATCTTTTATATTTGGCTACATTTGTCATTTTCCATTTATACAGTGAAAACCGACTTTTTTCACTAAAAAACCGGTTTTCGAATTCCATAATTTTCGCCAAAAAACGGTTTTTAAAACCGGTGTTTTTTCTTTTGTAGGTACTAAAAGGCTTAGAATATTTCCACAGTAACGGACAAATTCATAGAGATATAAAAGCTGGTAATATTTTACTCGGCGAAGATGGAACTGTACAAATTGCTGATTTTGGTGTCAGCGCTTGGCTGGCCACTGGAAGGGATTTATCGAGGCAAAAGGTAAAGGATATATGTGATAATTAATTACCCGGAGGTGATTTTTGCGAAAAAATCAACTTTTTTGAAGTAAAACTTCTTTAGGCGCGACTAGGGTGTAAATCCGTACAAATGCAACGAAAGTGCGTTACGGTAGGATAAGAGTCGATAAGATAAGAGTCGAGTGCCAATGATTCGTCATTCGCTCTCGATGATATCATTTCTATACGGGTCGATTGTGATTAGTCGTCGTGTATGTGAATAGAGATCTGTCGTTGTATGCGTACCGATATCAACAAAAAAATCGGCATAGATAAATAAACGTTTTAAAGTTACATCGTAGTACAAATCTTGATTTAATTAAAAATGCCTGAATCAGAAGAATATTTTTTTCTGTTTCTTGAAAATAATAAAACAAATTAAACATTTGTGCCGTATACTAAACGTAAGTTTATTGATTAGAAATTATTCCTATATTATTCGTAGTTTCTATAAATCTTTGAAGTCATTAAAATGGAAAATATTGTTTAGGCAAAACAGATAATACAACTATTTAAAGAATGAGATTATATCGCCAGCGAAAAAGTAAAAAACAAATCTAGTGGGACGCATGGCATCGTGCCTTAAGGCAAATTGCTGGAACTCCTCGTACTAAAAATTATTATTTTTTAAAAACGATTAACATTTTTGAAAAAATTTTACTTCGAAAAAATGAGATAGATTTTCGAGAAACTATAAATTTGACAAAAAATTATGTACTTTTTTTTGCAAAAAAAAATTATTGAAAAAAAATGTTTTCTTTATTTTGACATATTTTGGAAATGAATTTTGGAATTTATCTGAACTTTTTTTCAAAGCAATCGTACTGCTTTAACTGCATACAGACGAAAATATCGAAGCGCGTAAGCGCCGCGTCAGCGTCTAACGGATAAACATTGGTACGGAACCCATAGGAATGTAAACAAAATTTATACTTATTGTTAAAATCTCTGTAAAATATCTGATAATTTAATGTGCATATGTCTAATGATCATTTTTGACCGCCAAATGGCATTTTCTTTTACTTTTTTCACTAGATCTCCGAAACTGTTAGACTTGCCTTCATGAAAATTTGATCAATTCATCTTGTCAATACAAGTAAAATTTTTTTTTGAATTATTCAAATCGCTTCATCCGTGTTCCCGATATCGTCGACGAAAATTTTGTATCAGCACACACATACATACACACACATACATCCATTTTTTCTAAGGTATGCCAAAATGTCCAGAAGGTTTTGAAACGCAAAGAAATATAAAAATTTTCATTTTCGATTTTTTTTGCGATTACTGTAACTTGCCCTACGGGAAGTTAAAAAAAATACAAGCAGTCAATGAAAGTATGTTAATTAATAAGCAGTCAAGTATGTTAATTTTAATTACACGAAGTTCTTCAAACACAATTATTACAGGTTGAGTGAATTTGCAAAAACAATATTTGTTTAGGCATTGTTTAACATAATCCACTGTGTGAATGAATAGTATAGAATTTATTAATCACCAATTACTTTATTTCTCTAATGAAAGTTCATTTCTAAATGCTAATTACAATGACAAACCGATCATGTCGTATTTGAAGTATGACTTTAATTACATTATTGTTTTTATATATTATACATATTTTTAATGTTATTATAAATATATAAGTTATAATTCATCATTATATAAATGTGTATAATGATTGACGATAATAAATGTGTGCATTACGAGTGTTACCATATTATTAATGAAAATTATTCAAAATTGTTATGATTTATTTTCACTTAAATGCCATCTTGTACAGTTGCAAATAAGTTTTACTTCAATCGCGTATGAACCTTACGCGCACTCTTTTTTATATAATATTACCCAAGAACTATTACAATACGTTAAAGGACTTAAATCTAATTATTACATACCTAAGAACATCAGTTCCTATAGTTATATATAAATCTATTATAGGTGAATATAGATATAATATATACATATGTTATATATATATATATATATGTTATATATATACATATATATAATGTTATATATATACCTATATATAATGTGATATATATATACCATAATATGTTATATATATATACCTTATAGTTATATATATACCTTATATATATAATGTATATTTATACTACCTATATATATAATATATATACACCCTACATATCTATTTATCCCTTACAAACCTTACATTCAACCGTTTACACGCTATATTTTACTCTTATCTATTATCTCTACCTATCTATTGTCTATACCGGGATTTGAACCCGGGACCTCCGCGTGGAAGTCGCGCACCTTAACCACTACTCTATCGGCTACCCCCACTAATAATATTATTAGGACTGCACTGTTGTTACCGCGGTTCATTTTCTAATTAATTAGGTAATTAATACTAAGGCGGCGCGACGAGACGCTTCGAAAGACGATTGATCCTAGGGTTACGGTGGCGTAGTGGTTAAGGTCGTTGGCTGCCGCGCGGCAGACCCGGGTTCGAATCCCGGTAGGGTTCGGAAAAATTAGCGTTTAAGAAACATAGGTGTAAGATTAGAAATAATATAGGGCGTGTTATGTATATAGGGTTGTAGGCGTATTAGACGTATTAAGCGTATTAGGCGTACTATATAGTTAGTTCAAAGGCGTACAATATAGAATTTAAGGTTTAGTGAATATGATATAGGTAATAATGCAAGAAATACGTGTTATATGATAATCATTAGGAGAATTTTAATACGGGTACTGTATAGAATGCATTTTTATTGTTATAACAACTATTTAAATATTAAATTTTTTCATGACAAATAAAAGAAGTACGTGACATACCTCAACATTTAATTTTTGCAGTTTATTAAATAATTAACTTCCCGTAGGGTAGTTATAGTGGGTCGATAATGGGCCGAAAATCGAAAATGAAAATTTTTGCATTCTCGACGTTTTAAAGGTTTCTGAACATTTTTAAGAGGCATACCTCAGAAACTAAATGGATGTGTGTGTGTGTGTTTTGTATGTCCGCATTTTTTCGTCCACGTTTTCGGGCGCACGGATCAATCGATTTGAATGGTTTAAAATACATTCGATTCCTATCGATAGGGAGATGTGCTGATTAGTTTTTGGCAAAGGCAGGTCCAGCAGTTACGGAGATAAAGAGCAAAGAGTACAGATAATAGAAATCGAGTTTTGAGAGAACTGAGTATCGGATGTGAATGATCTAAAAACATTCAATTTGTAATGATTGGGAGAAGAGGTGATTAGTTTTTGGCAAAGGCAGGTCCCGTCATTTCGAAGATACAGAGCTAAATGTGCAAAAATGGCAGTTTTCGAGTGAACTAAGCGTCAGATTTGAATGATCTAAAAAACTTTCTGCTTGTATTGACAAAACAATTGCTTTTGAGGATAAAAAATTATTACATATTTTTTCAATTTTCCATAAAATATTTTTGTAATTTTCCATTAAAAATTCAAAAAATTACCAAGGCAAAGCACAGTCTAAGCGCCACTCCGGTACAAATGTTTACACAAGTGCGTTTAGACTGTCTATGTACTGGAGCACTTTTCCAATTTTGTGAAAACGATTGAAAAATGTGAAAATGCCGTCAAACTAAGCACAGTATAAGTGAAAATGTCGCACAGAATTATTTGCAAACGCGTTTAGACTGTGACTATACGGGAGCACTTTTTCAATTTTGTGCAAATTAGACAACTATTTATTTTGATAAATTGAATTCGAAATGAAGTGACGACTGTTAATGTTCTGGAGATAAATTGATTTTATTATAATTTACATGTGATTTGCTCAGATATACAAAAAAGATAGCAAAATAATGAAAGTTACATTATTTGTAATAATATATTTGAAAACGTTTAAAATTTCTCGAATATTTCAGCAATTTGCCTTAAGGCACGATGCCATAAACCACTAGTTTAAATTCATTTAAACAACTACTATTATAGATTGAACATTGAAGAAAAGCAAGTTATGAGTCGTTTATCCTTTTTCAGGTTAGGCATACATTTGTAGGAACGCCTTGCTGGATGGCACCCGAAGTGATGGAACAAGATCACGGATACGATTTCAAGGCAGATATTTGGTCTTTTGGAATCACAGCCATCGAAATGGCGACAGGAACAGCACCATATCACAAATATCCACCGATGAAAGTTTTAATGTTGACTCTACAGAACGATCCTCCCACGTTAGACACAGGTTAGTCGAGATAAAACTTAATTGCAAAATGTAGTATTTTATTTGTTACCAATAAGCACTAATATTTTTATATTAGTTTCGTCTATTCTGTCGAATTGATATTTGTTACATTTCAGGTGCCGATGAAAAAGATCAATACAAGGCTTATGGCAAAACGTTTAGGAAAATGATAGTCGATTGTTTGCAAAAGGAACCCTCGAAAAGACCTTCGGCGAGCGAGTTGCTTAAACATCCGTTCTTCAAAAAAGCCAAAGATAGAAAGTAAGTATATGGTCACAACAGTTGTGACTCACAACTATTTAAACTGTTCTTCATCTAACTTCTAATTACATTTTTTTTTTTTATTAAGGTACCTCACACAAACATTGGTGGCGACAGGTCCATCGATGGAAACTAGGGTACACAAAGCTGCTCGAAGACAACCTGGTGCCAGTGGCAGACTTCATCGGACAGTCACTGGTGAATGGGTTTGGTCTTCGGAGGAAGAAGATAATGATGGTAAGTGACCACAAAAAGTTTACCTACATAATAGTGATTGCTGTTTTTATTTTTTTACGAAGGAGAAGTTATGTTTTGTCTAGAAAATCTGATTTGCTAATTTGCTAATTTGCTTCGAGTCATTCTGAATCGTTTGAGATCGAAATTAGTAAAAACGTAACGATAGAATGAACCGAGTTTTTAGCTAAAATTGAGATAATAATAACAAATTTATTCGTTACAAACTTTCTGAAGGAGAAATGTTTTCATCTAAATATTACGGCCCTACGACATCTCGTTTAGCTTTAAAAATTCGTCAA